TCGGTACCAACAAGTATCAGGTCTGTTTCATTTACCAGAATATCCCCAGAATGTAACATAGTGCCTGATACATAGTAGGTACTCAGGATTTGTAGTCAGTGAGTAAGTGGAAGAATAAGTGGAGTAAACAAGAATCTCTTAAAAAGAGTATCCTTTTTCAGTTAACGAACAGTGATGTGTTGTTCAGTAGTCCTTTAAAATAGTTTGCCTCCTTTCCTAATTTAATTTTCCCTGCTCTCTACAACAAATGGATATTATGCAGGATTTAAGTATTTGGTGATAGTATGTAGGATTTAATTATTTGGTTGATATAAAACAATATTTCAGTAAACCTGCAGTTTTCCCTATTTTCCTCCAGATGGAGCTCCTTTATACTTTTGGTTAAAAAAATTAGAAAACTTCAGATGGCATGGCCACTTAACATTTCTACATGTGATATTTCAGAATTGTTGTCCATTTTTCCCCTAGATTATGCTTTACGTTTCTCTTTATAAATTTTAGAAATACTCGTTTTTTGTTAGAAAGTCAGATGGGGCAAAAATACATATATATTATTTATTTGATTCCTTTATATTTGGAATTTAAAAATGTAGAGGAAATTATAATAAAGAAGAAAAAACAACTTACTATGAAATCAGGAAAGGGGAAAATTAGATTATTTGTGAACTCCATTAGAACAAACATCAGGTCAGTCTTACTACCAGAATAATAACTTTTCTAGCTCTACAAGTTTTATTTGAAATGGTCATTGTCCTTCTTAAGTTGACTTATTGATTCCATTGCCCTAGTATGTAAAAATGTGGCATTTTTTGGATGTTCATCAATGGCAGTATGGCCTGCCTAGTCTGATTTTCCATATCTAATAGTGGACTTTGTATGAACTGAGGATTTTTTTTTTGATAGTCCTTACCCCGGCAGTCTGATAATTAAGAGCTTGGTGGGCAGATTTCTGATGAACAAGAATAATGTTAAAATATTTTTTTAATATAAAGAAATAAACAGTAGCAATCTCCTTATGGGTACACCTTTATATATTTTAATAGTAAGATGGACATGTTAGGCCCTCCACTTCGAACTGGAAGACATGTGCAAAGGTTGTATGACAGTGATACAAAATCAGACAATGCCATCAAAAGACATGAGTTATTACCCATTTACAAGTAAGTATATGTAACTCAGTTTGGTTATTCTTTTTCAGATATTTCTTAAAGGCTTTATATAATTGAATATTATAAACTTATACAATCCTATACTTAAATAATCTTACTTTAATCATTTGTAAACCTTGAAGTGCTAAATAATCTTCTAGGATTTAAAATATTGATGTTAGATGAGCATTTCTATTCTCAATAAAGCTGGTCTTAGCATGCATTTATTTCCATCAGATTTTAACTTTTAGAGGGTTGATATATCAGTCACCTTCAATAATTGTTTTTTTCTTTTGAAGCTTTCTTTTAGGAGTAATGTTTTTAAAAAGTATGGGAGATATTATGTCATACATAATGTGTAGTAATATTGCTGTATTATTTTTTAGTTAAGCAATAACAAACTATTATAAAAAGAAAAAAAATTTTAGAAAACATTCAGTCCAGGGATTCTCAGTCTTTTGGTTACATGGTTACAAACAACACATAAAACTGGGAAAGGATAAAATACTGCCAGGGGGAGAGAGACACTCCCCTCTCTATACTGGCCTAGAAAGCTGAGAAGAACAGCAAATGGCAATGGCAGTCACCTTGGAATTCTTCCATGTGGGTCTTCAGGGTTTTCTAGTTTGGGCTCCAACTCTAAGGCTAGCCCTCTCATTTTATTTTTAAAAAAAATTTTTAATGTTTTTTTTTTTTTTTTTTTATTTCTAGGAGAGAGAGAGAGAGACAGTGTGAGCAGGGGAGGGTCAGAGAGAGAGGGAGTCACAGACTGAAACAGGCTCCAGGCTCTGAGCTGACAGTCAGCACAGAGCCCGACGCGGGGCCGAACCCAAGAACCGCAAGATCGTGACTCAAGCTAAAGTCGGACGCTTAACTGACTAAGCCACCCAGGCGCCCCAAGCCCTCTCATTTTAAAATGATGAGATTAGAGTCTGATAAATTACTTATTGAAGTCAGAAAATATATTATTCATCACAGTTCACTTACTTTTAAACCAATGCCTGCTACAGCATTCTCTTACCATGTAAGAATAAATTTAACTAAATATAAAGTAAAGATGGGAGAAGTCTTTACGATATTAGCAGCAACTATGTGTTATTTTTAAGTAGTTAGTGATCAGTTCTAGAAGGAAGAATTTGTGCCCTGAGCCATTTTTCTTAGTACTGCTGTTGCTCTCTATTTGCTCTGAAGTGTATCTCAAAGAAACACTGACTGGCGGCAAGGCAGAGTAAGTATAATTCGAAAATTAAACCTTCTTTTATTATTGTTTGATCTAGATCAGGCAGATTATAGATACAGAATAAGAGTAGCAATTTTCAAACTCTGGCCAGGAGCAAAAATGCGCTGACCATGTGAGACGAGGACTGCATGTTTTAAGTACTAATCAGACCGTTCTTCCCAACCTCCTAAGAATGGTTCTTGATACTCAGATTCCACTTCTTAGAAGATGTTACTAAAACCACATGGTTGGTATTTGATAATGATGATTCTTGTTGATAATCTTATTTTTCTCTAATTTTAAAACAATTTTCTAATTATTTGAATAACTTCATTGATACGTTGAGGTTAGTGTGTATATCCATAGGTATGTTTGCATTATCTGTCTATCTCATGTACATAATATAAGAAAATGACTGGATTTCTAGCAAGACTTTCTTTTAGAACCAAAAAAACTAAAATGTCCCTCCTGTTTCTCTTCTGACTCTCACTGGAGGAATTGCCATTGTTTGGCAATTATTTTTTAGATATAAAATTCCTGAAAAGGTACTGTAGCAGTTCTACAACATCTCTAGCAGGGCTGGCTGTGTAAGAGTATAGCATGCCTCATGGTTAGACTGTCCGTGGCCATTTGAAGGGTCCAGGGTAACCCACTCATACACCAAGGTGATTCTTGTCAAAGTTTAGAAATAATTTTTTTTTAATAGTTTGGATGTTTTTGTTTGTGTTTTGTTTTGTTTTGTTTTGTTTTGTTTTTGAGAGAGAGAGTGACTAAGAGCAGGGTAGGGGCGAAGAGAGAAGGAGATAGAATCCCAAGCAGGCTCACACTGTCAGCACAGACTTGACTCAGGGCTCAAACTCAAGAACGGCAAATCATGATGTGGATTGAAGTGAGACAGACATTTAACTAACTGAACCACCCAGGCGCCCCAGTTTTAGAAATAATTAAAAGTAACTATTGAAAGCAGCCTCTTTTTGAATGACAGCATTGCATATTGATAGAAGATTTGTAACACAACCCATTTAAATTGAAGTTCAAATACTGTGGCCATATAATAGCTTTGCAGCTTACTTAATTTCTCTTGAGTATGAATTTCTTCAACTTTAAAACGGGAATAATATCTTCTGAGATTTCTGTGGAGATTAAATAAAGAGAAGTATGTATAGTACCTGGCATCATATTTGACATTTGAAGAACAGTAGATGTCACAATATCTACATCTATTTTGGAGGTAGCTAATTTAGAGACTCTACAACTTTGCTCTTTTAAGGAGGAAGAATTTCAGCCATAGTTTTAAGAACTTACCATCTAAAGGAATTTTTAAATGTATTCTGCTTGTTCATATAACGCAACGTTGCATATCTCTGAAAAGAGTTGAAATCTGTGGGGCACCTGGGTGGCTTAGTTGGTTGGGCGTCCGACTTTCACTTAGGTCATGATCTCGCGGTTCGTGGGTTCGAGCCCCGCATCGGGCTCTGTGCTGACTGCCAGCTCAGAGCCTGGAGCCTGTTTCAATCTGTGACTCCCTCTCTCTCTGACCCTCCCCTGCTCAAGCTGTCTCTCTCTCTCTCCTAGAAGTAAATAAAAATACTTAAAAAAAAAAAAGAGTTGAAATCTGTAAAGAGGGGGAAGGAATTAGCTCTTTATTTAACATCTGTTTGACAACACATTTGAATGTGTCACCTTGGTTAAGTTACTTAACCACTCTGCCTCATGAATTGCCTCATTTCTAAAATGGGGTTATTAATACTGTTTACTCCATTGGAGTATTATGAGGATTAAGTAAGTTTATATATAAAGGCAAGTAGAAATCTAGCTGTACCAAATGTGGTAAGTTCATTTTGTATATGTTAACTAGTAATAACATAGCCATAGTAGTAATAAAATAGTAGTATCATCATCAGCTATTCTGAATGTTAATATAAATTGCAGCTGGCATCTCATAACTTTTTATAAGAAAACTGATGATAGTCAATTTTAGAAATGAGGGAACTTGAACTCACATTGCCTGCTACTGCCACATTAGTCAGTAGCAGTTTGGATTTGAATCCAGATTCATCTGGATCCCAAATCCTATACTTTAACCATTGTATTGCCATTCAGTCATCTAAGCTTTCGTTGATTTCTGAAGGTTCATAAAGGGAATTCAGTAGTGATCCAACCAGAACTCCTCTACTGATACCAGATAGCCCAGGATGTGTAGTTGACAAGGTTAAATTTTAAAAGGGAAAATTATATTAACCCACTTATTTTAGTTGCTATTTCCAAGAACAGACTTCTATTAATTGAAAATTATGTAAGCGGTTAGCTAATATTTCTTGTTGTTTAACCACATTTCATAATGTGTAACATATTATTAACAGTTATTCATAGGCATTTAACAAGAAATATATATATATGTTTTTTTAGTTGATTTTATGTACCAAATGGATAATGTTAGTAAATGCAAAGTGCTTTGGATTATCCTTAGCTTTAACCATTATTTTCAGATTTAAAATAATTACTTGGATATTAATCTTTTAAATTCACCTCCCTACAGCTTCAAATTATTTTTATAATCATGCAAATGAGCAATATGAGAAATAAATCCTTGTTATTCTATAGCTTCTCATTATGTCATCTCTTTCTTTTAGAACTAACATCAAACCTCGAAATTCCACACCACCTAGTTTGGCACGAAATCCCGCCTCAGGTGTACTTACAAACAAAAGAAAAACATATACTGAGAGCTACATAGCCAGGTATGTTTAGCTCTGAGATTCTAAGAACTTAAATAAAAATGAATATATATATAGTTTTTTAAGGACCAAATACAAAAATAAATATCAGGCTATTAATAGAAAATCTAATTTTTCCTTTACTGTTAATGATTTAATTTGGTTTTTAAGTTGTACACTAAAGAAATAGTTTGGGCATATATGATAGTTTCCTATACCTTATAGTTGTTAGTGTTTTAAATGCTCAAAGGTAATCTGTTCAGTTCAACTGGATTTATTGGTATTTTATATCTTAATTTTAAGTGCGACGTGGTTATTTTTACCTCACCGAATTGAGTCATAGACCCTTTAAACCACTGGTATTGTAATTTTCAGTAGCATTTTAATTCATTTAAATTCCCTTGCTGAGGTTGTGATTATCCATTTACTTCCCTTTCTTATCTGTCACATTGTATGTACAACTTTGACATTCACTCTATTTGTAAGCATATAATGAAATCCTTCCAGTTATAGATATTAGATATATGTATACGTGTGTGTAGGTACATACACATATATATATCCATCTCAACTTATTCCAGAAAGCTTTAAGGCAATATATAGAGATCCATGTTGAGATACAATATTGTATAAAAATGAAAGAAAAGGAAAAAGAAAAATGAAAAAAGATAAAGAAGGGAGTGAAGTTACTCCACAAAATGTGTGTCATATAACCCTGTATATAGGCTAGCGCTTCGCCATAAATTGGGGTCTAAATTTTGCAGCAGCCAGAGTACAGGAGAAGAGAAGAGTAATTAGATGATTGGTGGTATATTTAAAAAAACAAAAATCATTTTTCTTTGAAAGAACAACTAGTCCTGAAGCCTCAGAAATCGGCCTGTGAATTCTTATAAAAGAGGAACTGCATAATTTAATGGATAACTTTTTTCCCCAGCTTTATTGAGGAGTAATTGCTATATATCACTGGATAAGTTTAAGGCATACCGCATGATGGTTTTGTTTTACGTACATTCTGAAATGATCACCATAATAAGTTCGGTTAACATCTGTCTTCTCATACAGATAGAAGGAAAAAAGTAAAAAAAAAACAAACAAATTTCATCTTGTATTGAGAACTTTAAGGATTTACTCACTTAAAAACGTTTGTATATGTCATACTGTTTGCTATAGTCAACATGTTGTACATTACATCCCTAGTATTTATCATATTTCTCTTATAACTGCAAGTTTGTATCTTTTGACCACCTTCCTCTAATTTATCCTCCCCATCCAGTGGATAACTTAATTAACATCTCTACTGTAAATATGGTAATGAATTTCATAGGATGTTTTCTTAAGATGCCCTCGGTGCAGACCTGTAACATGAATTCACTGAAAATTATTGTGATATGTATGTATTATATATAGGTACATATGTTGTCTGCTATAACATGTACAGCTATCCATTATTCAGATTTAATCCAGGATTAGATTTTCAAATATCTAAGATCCTAGCTGTCAATCTTGGTTGTTACCATTCAGAAGAAAGCACGTGTGGAACTTACTAAAAATGAACATGTCCACATCCCTCGCAGAGATTTTGATTTCTTTGGTTTTGATTTTTCAAGTTTTAAGAGTGATGCTTATACATAACATGGGATGAGAGCCATAGAGGAATAGGTGAATCCTACCTCTCCAGCTAGATTATTTAATAAATATTGTTTGTCTCAGCTGAGGTTTTGATGCATGTTAAGTAGTAAAGAAGTGAACTTGGTGTTTCTTGGATTCCTGACGTGTGGCTGTACTATGTTGTGTAAGTATGGAGCCATGTGTTTTGAATCCATCCTGAGTATAAAGCTAACATTCCCTTATAAAATGGAAAGCTTAATAAATACATGTACCTGAATAAAAAGATCATTTTATCTTTCTAAAGAGGTAGACAGAAGAAGTGTCAACAGTCAGGGGTACAAATCACATTAAAAATGAGTTTGGGTTCTTTTTTTGTTTTTGTTTTGTTTTTCTTTCTTTTTAAATGGTTGATATGTGATAGGAAGCCCTGAACCTTGTTCACTTGACTTACTACCTACCCGGATGGAATAATTACAACCATAATAGATGAAGAAATCTCAGAGATTTCTTTTTCTGGAAATATGATAGACTACATTTTCTGGATGGCTCTTCTACCCAGAACACCTAGAAATGCTACACAAAATATGCTTTTGAATATATATAGCTTAGCTCTCAGAAAAGTAAGGGAAACTTCCACAGGTAAGTAAATAAAGGAAACCAGAGGTCAGATTGGTAAATTAACCCTGACGCTGCACTTACATTTGAGGTTTTGACTGATCTTTCTACTTAAAGGTTTGAGTTTTAATGTTATTGTGGGAGAGAGGAGTTAGTTTGTTAGACTTCTACAAAGTGGAGCTTTAGAAACTCAGCTTTCCCTTCCCCTCTCCTCATGCCTCTTCTCTAATCCAGGACTCTTGAAATGCTCATCAGGAGGCTCAGCTAGACATAATCACATGATAATATATGACATTTGGCATTGGGATTATTTACAAGAAATAGGGAATGATGGCAAGCAGTGTCAGGTGTGTCTCTTCCCTGGAAATCCTTGCCCCCATCCTGAAGTGGTCTTTGACCGTCCAAGTGACAGGTTAGGTGTGAGAGAACAAGATCTTACAGTTGGGTGTAGGATCAGTTTAATTGGAAATTCGGTATCCCCAAAGGAAACAAGTTTCTCACGTAACAGTCCAGAGGCATAGCTTTCAGTTTGTCCTGAGGGATGTCTAGTGTCAGTGGACTGCGTATAAACTCTGTTGCCTGGAGCACAGCTGGCATCCCACCTTTTTAAAGGTTTTCCTTAAGGAAGGCTGCGGAGTTATCCCAGTGTCAGATGTGTCTACAGAAACAAAGAGTTCTTCACCTTATGCTATGTTATATGTTATACTAAAATAGAAATGATTATAGCTGACATTCTTGTGACATTTCTGCTTTTAAAGAAAATTATGTCACCATTAAAAAGGAAGATTGATACAGAATTCTATTAAATACATTTTGTTGATTTAATGACATTCCCTTCTCTAATTTCTAAGTGTTTTTTTAATCAAGAGTAAGTGGTGAATTTTATTGAATATCACATATGTATATATAACTAGTATTTTAAATCCTTTAATCTGTTTATGTGATAAATCGTATTAATATACTTCATACTGTTAAATCAGTCCTATTTTCTGAAATAAATCTCAAGTTTCCATAACTGCATGTTTGTGGATTGCATTTGCTAAAATTCTTAGAGATGTTTAAGTGTATTTCCAAGGTAAAATTGGTTATCATTTTATAGTATTAGTCTGAGTTTCAAGGTTATACTGACCTTTGAAAAGAAATTGCAGAATGTTGTTTGTCACCTCCCTCTTTTGGAAAAATTTAGTAGAATTTACCATGTAAAACTATCATGAGTATATTATGTGTGTGTATGCCCATGTGATAAGGAGGGGTAGTTTGTTAATTACTGATTCATTAATAATTTAATGATTATATTTGTTACTGTGATATCAGTTTTCATAAGTTACAGTTTTCTAGGAAATTTTTCATTACATCTGAGTTTCAAATTGCTAGCACAGAATTGTTTTTATAATTTTAAATCTGTTGTTATCTATAGTTGCATCCCTCTTTTATTCTGAATATCGTTTGTTCCTTTTTTGTTGATCAACCTTAAGAGAAGTTTGCTTTATCATTTTAAACGGACCAAATATTTTGCTTTGTCATGTATTATTCATTCACTTATTCATTAAAATAATATTTACTGAGAGATATTTATGTCCAGCACTTCTCTTGATCCTAGCCTAGAGCAGTAACAAAACAGATAAAAATTGCTGCACTCAAGGAGCTTACAGTCTTATGGAGAAGACACAACATGACATAAGTAACATATACTGCATGTCAGATGGACAACAGTAAAGCCAAAGGGGACATAGAGTTCAGGATGGCAGTGAGAGTGTCCAGAGCCATGAGGGTTGCAGTACAGGGGATGAAGGATGAAAGAATTTTTGTTGTTGTGAGCATAACTGAATTAGAACAAAGGGCCTAATGATAGTGACAAGAATTTGGGTGAAAAGACACTATGGATACAGTGAAAATAGCATGACATTGTGAGAAATACATGTATTTAGTTTTTATAATATATCTTACATGTAAATATTTATTACATATATATTTGTATTTACATATACATATAAAAAATAGATATATATTTATTACATATATATATATTACATATATGTATCTGGGCAAAGTTCCACTTTTCTCTTTAGAGCTGGTTTTGCAGGAGGGACACTATAAATTTCCATCATGCTCCCATTGTAGTAAATGCCTAGTACATTGAGCAGATGCAAAATGTGGTGACATTTCTTCATTAAAAATTCTCATACAGGGACAAATACAATGCCAAAGAAAACATCTAGAATTTCATTATTAACTAAAAGGGATTCTTTTTTAAATATAAACTAGAAGAATATTAAAAATGAGGTTAAGCAATGTTTTAGTTATACTTAATATTATAATGTCATGTTTTCTAAGGGTTATGAAAACTACTGATAAGAACTTTGTGTTTCCACTTTTTTCCCTGTACTTCTTCAGGCCAGATGGAGACTGTATATCTTCACTTAATGGCGGAAACATTAAAGGCATGGAAGGAAATTCAACAGGACACTTACCAAAATTCTGCCACGAGTGTGGGACTAAATATCCTGTAGAATGGGCAAAGTTCTGTTGTGAATGTGGCATTCGAAGAATGGTTCTGTGAACAGAGTCCCCCCAAAAAGCTAAGTCTAGAAATTTATGACTGTGCTGCTTGGACAGCTAAGCACTTCCTCTAGTGATTTTATGCTAAAATTATTCAAAATACTTTTTTCAGCGAATTTTGGAGCATAATCTTTGGCTGTGTTAATGTGTATGTGTAATATATATGTGTACATATACTGTATATAATAAATACCTGATACCCCAAACTGTGCCATTCAAGGAAATATTCACTCACCTGTCAAAGTAATTTCAAGTAGAATCATTAGCTTAGATATTACTTTTCTGCTATTTTGTTAAAGTACATTAAACATACCTACACAAAGTCAAACACTAATGCTCAGCCCTTCAAGCTTTAGGAATGATCTTTACTTTGAGCGAAAAAAAAAAATCAGAACAAACATATTTATTATCAGTGCCTATTTTCAGAAAATATCATAGGATGGGATGCTTGAAATTTGGAAATGAAGAGAATATTTTTAGTTACAATTAGTTATGTGAGGTCATTTTGCTGTAGAGCTTGTCAACAATTAATTTTATAAATATAAAAAAAGAAAAACCCCACAGGTCTATGTGGTCCTTTACTCGGTATATCATTAATATTATAATTTAAAGATCTTTATTCATTCTTTAAAATGTAATTATGCAGTTTCCTTTTCAGAGACACAAGACTGAAAAATAAAAATGTGTCTTATTCTAGTCATAACTGAATGAATTTTTCACCTCTTTGTTAGTTGAATGTATATTCTATTTCCAATTGTATCTCTGTATTTCACTTTTTTTTCATAACTTCATGTCTAAAAAAGAGTTTTATTTTACTACTTTTTTATTTGCGAAGTTTGAAAATAATTAATATACGATGCACAAATTCCTTGCAAAATTTTACATGTTTATTTCTGTGTCTGTAATTAGAAGAAATTATTTTTAATAGATTTAAAACCACCTCACCTAATAAATATTTTGGATAATCATTAGCAATTTTTTAATTTAATTTCTCTTCAAGTATAGTTAGATGTAGTTATGAGTAGGTCAAGAGAATATCTAATTTTCCTACTTACATTTTCTTTTTGGTGTTTAATGCTGAAACAGCATTCACATCACAGTAAAAAACCCCACTGAAAATGCATTGCTTTAATGCATAGCTGACTTATGTAATTAAACATTCACAAAAATTTAATTATACTTTAATTTTGGCTAAAATATAGCTTTTAATCATTGTCACTTTCAATGTAACAGCATTTAGTGGATTTCTTTGATTGCCTATGCAGCCAAATTCTGTAATTTATTAGTAATTTCTGTTGAAGGGAAAGAAAAGTGCTTTGATCATATTATAAAGGTATAAGCAAATCTTTTATAGGCAATTTACAGCTTGTTTATGATTGTGATCAACTGTAAGGGTTAATGTAGAAATTTGTAGCTTATAATTTTCTCGGAAATTTATTTATGCTCATACTTTATAATTCATTAATTTTTTGGTTTTTGGTTTTTTTTTTCATTTGCGAATTATATGTAAACTTTGAGATAATAGGAATTGTCATTTTATTTACCTTATGATTTCTTTCCTGACCTTCTGTTAACTTTTTTTTCTGGTTGTCTTTATTCAATGATATTAATCTAAAGAAAAGTCCACTTATTAGGATAAGCTGTATAAATTTAGGAGAATAATGTACATATTAAATTTTCATTTCTGTAATATGTTATTCTGTCTTGTTATAAATCATAGGAAGAACTTTAAACTTTGTTTCACCTGGAACTGAGCACTATATTTTTTTTTGCTTTTTTTTAAGACCACATAATTTTTTGCCCAAGGAGGGGTAGGTAAATTGAACTTAAACAAAGTGGCACATGTTTGTTTCTCACCGAATTTTGCAGTAGCGAATAAATGTTACAATGTACTATTTGGAAGATGAGTTGGTAAAACAAAAAATCATCCAACTCTAGAACGCAGAGATTATTATAAACAGTAAGTTGGTGACGTACACTTATGAATTATGAAACATGTTGTGACAATGTATTTAAATGCATTTTTATATTACTTACATATATTACTCTCATTGATTTGTTGTGCAATAGTTCAGTTTCTAAGAAATTTTCCTATATCTATACATCATTTAGTTTATTTTTATTTATTTTCACAAGTATTTGCCAGTGTGGTAGAATAAAAAGTGATTGTAAGCTTAAATTTAAAATGTAAAAATTGCTTATATATTATTCTGAAAGTCATTAGCTTGAAAAAGTAAAATCATTATGGTTGCTGTTGTCTCTTGTTCACTGTTTTTTATTACAATATTGTGTTCATTTTTGAACCTATTCAATAAAGATGAAGCAAAAAGAACGTTCTGATTGGTCTTTATTGATGTCTTAGCTTTTATCCACACTTCGATAGAAAGATAAGAACACTATGAAATATGAAGCAAATATCTAAATACGGATTTTTTTAAATGACAGAGTAGCTTTTCATTGGCCGTTTTTTGTGCCATCAGCTTTTAAAGAAATTGCTGCTTATTGAATTGCTGTGTTTTATGACTTCAAAGTATTATAAGTGTTTCATTACAGGATTTCTAGTGCGTAGAAAGATTCTCTTCATGGCCAGTAAAATATAGCAGTTGAAAACATTCTTGAACTCAAGGTTGATAGAAAACATTGGATATTTCTAATTAGGTTATGTTACAGTTTAATGGCAAAAAGTATTGGTTTGTGATCAATACTAAGTGATTTAGACTATCATATTTAAAATTTTAAATAGCAGCTGTCTCTAGTAAAAAATATCACATTAGGGGCCCCTGGATCGCTTAGTCAGTTAAGCATCTCACTTCAGCTCAGGTATGACCTGGCGGTTTGTGAGTTCAAGCCCCTCACTGGGCTCTGTGCTGACAGCTCAGAACCTGAAGACTGCTTCGAATTCTGTGTCTCCTCTCTCTGCCCTCCCCTGCTCGGACTCTGTCCCTCTCTCAGGAAGTGAATAAACATATATTTTTTGTTTTTGTATAATCAAATTAGACATGTTTGATTTGTACTCAGTGCAATATATTTGCATTGCAGGTATCTATGTATTTTATGTGGTAGATATATATATTTTAGTACTAAGTTAATTTTTCCAACTGACTACTATTGAATTAAGCAGTAGAAAATCATTAAAATCAAGTTAATTATAGTCATACTTATTTTCATTCATAAATTTTTAGTTATTACTATCAGGATACTTAATTTTATAATTTTGTTTGGCTTATATGTGAATTGGTTTTTTGCCACTAGAGGGTGCTTTTGGATAATTTAATATTACCAGCTTTGAATTTTATTTTAAAGGCCTCTCAGCAATATAGGTATAATCTATATACACACACACACACATATATCATGACATTATAGAGATTTATAAAAGATAGTTGTTCTTTATTTTGTCATGACTTTAATAATATCTTGATTTTTAAGCACCTTAATCTAACTCATTTTGGGCACCGTTGTGGTAGTAATTAATAGGAATGTTTCATATTTAACCCTCACATTTTGTTAGCAGATTTATGCATCTCAAACATATTACTCAAGCATTACCAGATACTCCTAATACTATTATTTTAATATGTCCTTTTAGTTGTAAAAGAGTTCTCTTTTTTAAGACAAGATTTTATTTTAATCATCTAACCTAACTTAACAATATTTAATATGGGTGAGTGACATCTACTTATTTTTTTAAGTTTTTATTTTTTTAATGTTTGTTTATTTTGAGAGGAAGAAAGAAAGAGTGGAGAGAGGCAGAAAGAGAGAAAGAAAATCCCAAGCAGGCTCTACACCCTCAGCATGGAGCCCAACACGGGGTTTGAACTCACCATGATCATGACCTGAGTTGAAATCAATAGTTGGGTGCTTAACTGACTGAGCCACCCAGGCACCCCTAAGTTTTTAATTCCAGTTAGTTAACATATTATGTTATATTAGTTTCAGGTGTACAATATAGTGATTCAACAATCTATACATCACCCAGTGCTCATCACTGAGAAGTGGACCCATTAATCCCCATCACCTGTTTTACCCCCCCCCCCCCCATCCCTTCCCTCTGGTAACCATTAGTTTCTTTGGTAGTGATCAGGGATACTGCCAAACATTCAGCAATGCACCACACACCTACCCCACAACAAAGAATGCTAATTTCTTGGTTCAGATAAATGTACTGTGCTTATGTAAGATGTTAGCCTTAGAGGAAATTTGGTAAAGGGTATGCAGGAACACTGTACTATCTTTGCAACTTTATATATTTGAAATTATTTCAAGATATATAAATAAAGCTTATACATCACTACTTAAGGGCAACGTATTGCTTTAAAGTTAAACAATTGGTATTTTCATAATTTATTTCTATTGCAGTGTACTATGTACTATAGCTGAAGTATTGTTTTGATCTTTTGCAAATCACTTGAATCATTCAATGAATTTATATTGTCTGTGATATATATGTTGAGATTTTTGAGAACGATAGCATATTTTCAAAGGTCTTCAAAGGGGTCTTTAATCATTGAACTTAAATACTTCCTCTCTTGATCAATCTTGTTTTTTTTTCTTTTACAGAGAATTTGTTTTCTGTAATAATTTTGTTCACTTGTTGGCTGTTGCTTATTTTTTTTTTTTTTCTCGGAACATATGCTCCCTGAAAGCAGGGACTTTGTTGTACCTCTATGTCCAGAACTGTCACATTAGAAACGGATACTTAATATTTGTTGAGTGAATTATCTGTATCTGTGTCGCATCTTCCCATTAAGTGGTATTCAAAAATTGGAGCTTCTTTAAGCCCACTAGGCTGTGAAGATAGAAGTCCCAACACTAGTATTTAACTTAACCTTTATGAAAGTAACTCTTCTTAAGCATAAAGATGTATTTGTCTACATATTTAAGCTTTTTCACAGCTAAAAATAAATCCTTTCTGCTGGGAATGCTGGGCAAGGAGATGATAAGATAGATATCTGTCATTTTATACTTTTCTGGCAGATCTTTCTGATTCTCCTAGAAAGCATTTACTTCTGATTAGATGTTCTGCAAACCAACTTCCTTTCATTTGTGGTAGTATTTGGACCATTTTTAGAACAATTTATAAGAGTTTCTATCCAAATAAATTTTTAAGTAAAATGTTCCTATTTGATTCAGATTATTTCAAACATAAAGTTTGTGATAAGCATCATAGGTGGAAATTGGCAAACACATGTCCCTCTCATACATGGTAACACCTGGTAGATTATTGAGTTATTTGTTGACCTTAGCAGTGGTGCAAATCATCAACCCCACTTGGGAAGAATGGGAAGGATTGGAACCCTTAGTCTGCCTTACAGGAAAAAAAAAAAAAAAAAATCAAGCAAGAGCAAATCCTAAATTGTGAATGTTTCCACTTGTCTTAATTTTCACCATGTAAGATACAGATAGAAAATGGTTCACTTTGATAATAAGATCTTAAAGTGTATCTAACCTCCTTAGAAAACTTGTCTTCTACAGAAAAACTCACTTCTTTCTTACCAATATGTATGAAAAATATGTAAAACAAATGAAAATAAACCCCATATTATCCCAAACCAAAATAATCATTTTACATCTTTCTCAAACCCAAAATCATTGATGAATCTAGGTGCATATATATTTTTTGATACTGAGACATTAAAAATTATTGGAGTTGGTGATTATCAATGTTCCTATAATATCTCCACAGATTCTATTATCTGGTCAGAATCAAGACTGAAAGATACTTCACAACAAAGTTTAGAAGTGAAAGTTCCATGAAGATGTAAGAACACAAAGCTGTGGAGTCCTATTGTTTTAAAAAAATTATGTTCTATGTTCCTATCATAGCTATCTTTAAGTAAATTGTATTTTATTGCAGTAATGTATTTTTTGGGATAATTAAATAGATTTTTATTGATACACTGGTTTAATGTAATTTGTCCTTATGTGTTAAACATGGTATACTTAGCTTTTCTCATTAGGAGCTTAAGGGAACACAAAAGATCATATACTTTTTCAGGAGAAAACACTTCAAACAAATGTGGAGAGAAAACAGAAACTATGTAAATAATAGTTGTATTTAAGATAAAATATTAAGATGAATCTGATCAAATAATAATGCATGATACCAGAAATGAAGTGCTAGGCAACGAAAGGAAGAAATATTAACATTATCTAGAATCATCATGGAAGCCATAGCAATTGAGAAAGGAATTGAAGTTTGAGCAGGATCTGTAGTTTTAATAGAACAATCTTAACCCTGGAAGGAGTATTTCCTTCAGCAGATTCCTTGAAAGCCTGTTCTAAAAGACTTTTAACTGAGTCCCTTTGTATAATGCAATATTCCCCAAAGTGCATTTAGGTAATGGTTTTTACATAAAAGTAGTACTCTCTAGTCAGATTTTGGAAATGTTGTATAGTGTTAAACTTAAAGAAGGTATATGTGTTTATAAATAAGTTTTAATATACTTGTATATAAATTGTAAGTCTCTGAAAGAAAATGTATCTGACTCCAGAACTCAGAACCCTCCCTCTTTTTCTTTTTCCTTTTTATATTTCTCCTCCTCCTCCTCCCCTTCATCTTTCTTCTTCATCTTCTGTGTTGTCATCATCATCTTCTGCTGTAGCATTGATGAGGATTAGGGTTTCTTGGGACAAACTTTAGAAAATGCTGCTTTAAAGCATTTTATACGTACATATTTGAAAGAAAATGTTCACTGGGATAAAACAAGTCTCTAATTGGAGAGTAAAAATAATAAAAATATAATATTCAAGTTCATTATTAACTAGCCTGCATTGTCTCTACTTATTTTCCTAGTGTGTAGGAAACAAAGAAGGTAAATACAACCATAAATGCCTGAGTATTTTTTTCAAGCATTTGATACACAGTATATATATTGAATAGTGTTTTGAGTGTGAATTTTCTCTAAACTTCAAATATACATAAACAAATGAAAATCAAGGAAGAAAATTTTAGTAACTTACTGCAAGCATTTAAAAATATTGTTCTTTATTTTGCCATATCTCAGAATTCTTTTCAACATTTGTTAGGGATATTTTAGACAGACTTCAAGGAACATTTTCAAGGACAGTTTGAGGAATCTACCTTTAGAACTTAAAATCCCCTCATTTCTACAGCTGATGATTTACCAACAATACCAGTTCATCAGGGTCAAAGTGTACCATACAGTTTACCATGTTTTATGGTGGAAAGAAGCATAGCTTACTTGGAAAAGTCCATCTGAAGAAAGAGCTTGGTGAAGAATCATTTGCTCCTAAAATTGTTAGCTCCCTTTTCTGGAGTTGATAATGAAAACCAAACAGAACACATACTAGATTCAAAGTCCTATTAATGTAGCAGTCAGTGAATTCTGTACAACTGTCTGTACAATTTGACACAGCTATCAGCACCAGTGAGAGTGAACCGCTGTAGGATTTAGGGAGAGTGAGAAAGAGAGGCAGAGACACAAACCTGAACTGAGAGGAAGAACTTACCACCACACACTGGGACCAGAGCATCATCTGAAGCTCAAATAAAGCCAGTCAGCATTTTACCAGGTGGTAATGAAAGCATAAAATAGCAGGAAGGATGTGAGTTAAGCAAACTGGTGGCTGCTGAAGGACTCTGGCCTGTCTAGAATAAGGTTTTCATTTCCCTTTACAAGTAAGCAAAGACTATGTATTGGCAGACTTTTCTAAACTGGATGTGGTATATACAAAAGTTTCTTTTAAAAGACTAAAATTTAACATAGAAAATAAAGTTCCTGTTCTTATATAGTTTTGGGGTCCTGGTTCCATGTACATTTTGAGTAATAAGGTATTAAAAGTCACATATTCAATGACAGTGAGAGATCAAATAGTGGTACAGCATTAAAATCTTATCTTAGAAATTCATTAAGTGAATCTGACAGTGTTATTACATAGACCATTTATTATCAAAAGAGAAATGTTATCCAAACTAAGCAAATTGTTTGTAATACTGTATGAAAATATTTTTATATAATACAGATATAGTGTCAAAATTAAATACACACATTTCATTAATTAAAAGGTCAACATATATTATTCTGTTAAAAATATACTTCCCAAATTGCCAACTCATTTAGACAAATTTTATTACACATAAATGACTAAGGTAACTCAGTATTATGGTTTAGCATCCTTAGAACAGTTGACTTTCTATTTTGTGAAATTATTCTTTATGGTCATCCTAAAACATTTGCTATACCATCTAGTGAAGGCACTGTGTTATACATTCATGTTTAATTACATGTCTTAATCTCTCTCTTAAGTCTCTGTACTCCATACTGCTGCTTCTTTAAGGTATATGACTCCTCCTCTTATGGACATTACCCACATCTCACTGTTAACTGAAACATTTTCAGCACAGAGATGACAATCCACTCTCACTGTAGTATGCTGATGCATAAAATTATTTTCATAGTAAAGCAATGTTAATTTTTAATCCTTGCAACCTTTATATACTTCACAGATTTTATATGCCTTTTTCTGAAATTTTAAAACAGGTTTAAAAAGTATTATTGCAACTAATAGTTTACATGGATTATCTTACAAAAATCACAAAATTAATACTGATTGATTATGTCCAAAAACATATAAAATAGTTTGTTGATTGCAGCATTTGGTTTCCACTGTTTATGTCCATCCAGTTCTAGTTCCATGGTATGAATTTTTCAACTGCTGTAATCCACTTTTACCAGGAGGCATTCTGTAGCTTCTAGGGTATTCTACCCCCCCAAATTGTAATGGGCAAACAGATCCTTGGAAGATACAACTAAAGTTCATATGTCTTTATATTGCCACTCCAAATTTTTCAATGTTCTTTAGAGCCCCTCAAAATTTTATTCCAACAAGTTTTTATCTTTTGTAGTAGTATCCCTAGGAAACACAAGCTCTTCTGTTTTCTCTGTTCCTTTAAAGATTTGTTGTCTTCCTAGAAAAGTAAATTTTAAAAGTTTTAAATTTACATTTAAAGAATACACATTTAAAAATACTCATTTTTAAATTTCCATCATGTTAGGTTATGCTGAAAGTTTGGTGTAATTGAAAAAAGAGAATCTTGAATGATATTTTGTAAACTATGATTTCTAACTATACTTGTGATAATCTATGTGTAGGATATTCAAGATTGTTGGGGTTTAAGATTTAGAATTAAAGAGCTATATCAGGTGGCTGCCATTTTTACCACTGCAGCAGTGTACAAGCTATTGAAATTCTGTTGAAATGTATGTGGAAAAGATGTTTGTAGTTTACTGAATTGACTTGTTTAATATAGAAAAAAATGTATTTTTTGTGAGAGGAAGAATTAACACTGAAAATATTCAGGGTATTTTGGCAAATATGATTGATAATGATGTACCTGATTGAGCTTGTGCGCTAAAGGTCCACCCTGATAATCTGGTCTTCACTAGAGTACAGAATACTGAAAACTAGTTTTCAGTCCCTGATAAAATTCTTAAAAAGGGCTACCTGTACAGCCTACAGAAAGTGGAGAAAGAAACACCTCACATGGAATAGACATATAAGGGAGAAGCTCTGCATACGTTTGATCACATTCCAGTAATCCCTGGAAAGAGGATTCATAGAGGGTAGGGTAATTCATCATTTAGATAACAGCCAATTATTGAGTGTTTTCTAGGTCACATATTGTGTTCCATGCTTTGCATACATTATTTCATTTTATCATCTTAATGACTCTATTAAATTGATGATTTTGCCTCCATTCACAGATGAGGGAACTGAGCTGCAAGAGGATAAATAAGCTACCAAACTCATGTAAGTATAATACCTGTGGTTTGAACTCATCCATCCTATTTTTAGTTAAGCTACAAACTGGATCTCTCTTTGTTATATAGTTAGTTAACACTAACACATAGCCTTTAAAAAATATATTTAAAAGATTAATCAGATTTCAAAGAAAAATATGAAGAGGAATTTCTCATATTCATTTTATTGAGGGTCTAGGACGTCTTTAAAAAGTACAAATTGAAGTTCATATGACGAAGCAGTTTTGAAATGCATAGACATGAAAATTTAAATGACATTTCCCAGGACACTAAGACTGAACATTCTTTAAAAAGACAAATGCAAAAAACCGTGATTTTACCTCTGTAATCCTGGGAACACAGATGTTATCTCCCTTCTCTAAACTTTATTTCCAAATTTTCTTGTCCAGAAGCCCTCAATGTATTTATATTGCTTGTGTTCATTTCCACTCTTCATTTAAGCTGGAATTCCTATGATTTCCTGAATCCCAGAGTATGCAATTCACCCTGCTTCTCTAAGAGAAATAAGGGATTTCCATGCTCCCATAGTATCTAATGGTGGAATAACATTACAATAGCAACAGAAATGTGAAATAATGGAAATACCCATCACTGCTATGAATCAACTGTCCCATTCTATCAATTTTCCATGTCTCATTCTAGTTAATACTCACATCAATTTTTAAGTTTTGTATTAAATTTTTATTTAAATTCCAGTATAGTTAATATACAGTGTTAAATTAGTTTCAGATGCACAATAGAGTGATTCAACACTTCCACACATCACTATAGGCTCATGACAAGTGCACTTCTTAATCCCTATCACCTATTTAACCCATCCTCGCACCCATCTCCCCTCTGGTAATCAATTTCTCCTCTACAGTTAAGAGTGTTTTTTTGGTTTGCCCCCTTCTCTTTTTTTCCCTAATGCACATTTGTTTTGTTCTTAAATTCCACATCTGAATGAAACCATAAAATATTTGTCTTTCTCTGACTTATTTCACTTAGCATTATACTCGCTCCATCTATATCCTTGTAAATGGCAAAAGTTCATTCTTTTTGATGGCTGAATAATATTCCATTATATATATATTATATATATAATACACATATACATACATACACACACAATATTCCATTATATATATACATACATACACACACACACACACACACACACACACACACACAATATTCCTAATCCATTCTATCCATTCATCAGTCAATGGACATTTGGGCTCTTTGCATAATCTGGTGATTGTTGATAATGCTCCTATAAATATTGAGATGCATGTATCCCTTTGAATTAGTATTTTTGTATCTTTTGAGTAAATACCTAGTAGTGCAATTGCTAGGTCATAGGGTAGTTCTAATTGTAACTTTTTGAGGAATCTTCATAATGTTTTCCAGAGTGGCTGCACCAGTTTGCATGCCCATGAATGGTGTAAGAGGGTTCCTCTGTCTCCACATCCTTGCCAACACCTGTTGTTTCCTGAGTTAATTTTAGCCATTCTGACAGGTGTGAGGTAGTATCTCATTGTGGTTTTGACTTGTAGTTTTCTGATGATGAGTGATGTTGAACATCTCTTCATGTGTCTGTTAGCTATTGGTAAGTCTTCTTTGGAGAAATATCTGTTCATGTCTTCTGTCCATTTCTTAGCTGCATTATTTATTTTTGGGGTGTTGAGTTTGCTAAGTTCTTTATAGATTTTGGATACTAGCCCTTTTTCTGATATGTCATTTGCAAATATCTTCTTTCATTCCATAGATTGCCTTTTAGTTTTGTTGATTGTTTCCTTTGCTGTTTAAAGTTTTTTTTTTTTATCTTGATGAAGTTGATGAAGGTTCAATAGTTTTTCTGTTTTGTTTTGTTTTGTTTTTTTGTTTTGCTTTTGTTTTCCTTGCCTCAGAAGACATATCTAGTAAGAAGTTGCTATGGCGGACATACAAAGATGTTGCTGCCTGTGCTCTCTTCTAGGATTTTGATGGTTTCTTGTCTCACACTTAGGTCTTTGATCCATTTTGAGTTTATTTTTGTATATGGCGTAAGAAAGTGGTCCAATCACATTCTTGTATATGTCGCTGTCCAGTTTTCCCAATTCTTTTGTTGAAGAGACTGTCTTTCTGCCATTGGGTATTCTTTCCTGCTTTATTGAAGATTAGTTGACCATATAGTTGTGAATCCATTTCTGAGTTTTCTATTCTGTTTCATTGATCTATGGTCTATTTTTGTGCCTGTACCATACTGTCTTTGATGATTACAGCTTTGTAATACAGCTTGAAGTTTGGAACTGTGATATCTCCTGCTTTGGTTTTCTTTTTCAACATTACTGTGGCTATTCAGGGTCTCTTCTGGTTCCATACAAATTTTAGAATTGTTTGTTCTAGCTCTGTGAAAAATGCTGGTGGCATTTTGATAGGGACTTCATTGAATGTGTAGATTGCTTTGGTAGTATAGACATTTTAACAATATTTGCTCTTCCTGTCCATGACATGAAATATTTTTTCATTTATTTGTGTGTTCTTCAATATCTTTCAAAAGTGTTCTATAGTTTTCAGAGTACAGATCTTTTGCCTCTTTGGATAGGTTCACTCCTAGATATCTTATGGTTTGGTGCAATGGTAAGTGGGATCGATTTCTTGATTTCTCCTTCTGCTGCTTCGTTATGCATGTACAGAAATGCAACAGTTCTACATTCTGATGTTATATCTTGCAATTTTGTTGAATTTGTATATCAGTTCAAGCAATTTTGCGGTGGAGTCCTTCAGGCTTTCTACGTAGAGTTATCATGTCATCTGCAAAGACTGAATGTTTAACTTCTTTCTTGATGATTTCAATGCTTTTATTTCTTTTTGTTGTCTGACTGCTGAGGCTAGGACTTCCAGTACTATACTGAACAACAGTGGTGAGAGTGGACATTCCCATCGTGTTCCTGACCTTAGAGGAAAAGCTCTCAGTATAGTATTTCCCCACTGAGGATGTATTAGCTGTGGAGCTTTCGTATATGGCCTTTAGGCTTCTGAGGTATGTTCCTTCTATCCCTACTTTCTGGAAGGTTTTTACCAAGAAAAGATGCTATATTTTGTCAAACGCTTTTTCTGCATCTATTGAAAGGATAATATGGTTTTTATCCTTTCTTCTTTTGATGTAGTGTATCATGTTGATTTGTGGATATTGAACCACCCCTGCAGCCCAGAAATAAATCCCACTTGATATGGTGAATAATTCTTTTATGGTACTGTTGGATTTGATTTGCTAGTATCTTGATAATTTTTGCATCCATGTGCATCGGGGATATTGGTCTGTAATTCTCCTTTTTAGTTGGGTCTTTGTCTTGTTTGGGAATCAAGGTAATCATGGCCTAATACAATTAGTTTGGAAGTTTTCCTTCTATTTCTATTTTTTGGAACATTGTCAGAAGAATGGGTATTAACTCTTCTTTAAATGTTTGGTAGAATTCCCCTGGGAAGCCATATGGACCTGGACTCTTGTTGGGAGATTTTTGGTTACTGATTCAATTTCTTCACTGGTTATGGGTCTGTTCAAATTTTCTATTTCTTCCTGATTCAGTTTTGGTAGTTTATATGTTTCTAGGAATTTATCCATTTCTTCCAGGTTGCCCAATTTGTTGGCCTATAATTGCTCATAATATTCTCTTACAATTGTTTGTATTTCTGCAGTATTGGTTGTGATCTCTCCACTTTAACTTATGATTTCATTTATTTGGGTCCTTTCCCTTTTCTTTTGATAAATCTGGCTAGGGGTTTATCAATTTTGTTCACTCTTTACTTTCTTTTTTTTTTTTCTTAAATAGTTTATTGTCAAGTTGGTTTCCATATAACCCGTCCTCATCTCAACATGTGCCCTCCCCCATGCCCATCACCTCCCTTCCCTTCTCCCCCACCCACATCAATGTTCACTTTGTAAAAGAACTAGCTCTATTTCATTGATTTTTTAAAAAATTTCTTTATCATTTATTTCTACTCTCATTATTTTATTTCCCTTCTTATGCTAGTTTTGGGCTTTATTTGCTGTTATTTATCCAGTTCCTTTAGGTGTAAGGTTAGGTTGTGTATGTGAGACTTTTCTTGTGTCTTAAGGAGATCTGTATTGCTACATACTTCACTCTTATACTGCCTTTGCTACGTCCCAAAGGTTTTGGACTGT